ATTTTTGTGGAGCTCCCTGAATTTTTGGATATTTAATTTTTTGGCGTCTTTGTACAACTACAATGATGAATATATTTTTCTTAATGAAATTTGTTCATCAAAATCAAATCTTCAAACTATGTGAAGTTTAATTTTTCGAAAATTTGAGAAGTTGAAAGGGCAATTTTTAAACAATCGTTTTCTCAAATTCTGCTCCAGATCTTTTCTTTATTTTTTCTTCGTAGCAAAGAACAGTGAAGAAATTGGTGCCGGTTCCATTTTCGGCAAACTCTCTGTATTTTGGAACATCGCAAACAAAAAATAAACATGGGGAAAGTACAATAAGTATGATAGAGATATTTTAAATGAATTTTTTCTAATAAATCCGTTCTTTGAAAAAGGTCACGTATTAAAAAAAATAATATGCCATTGCACAGACACTTGGAGAAAATTAAACAGTTATAGATTTTATTGAAGTTTATTGAATCGCAGAAAAGGATTTTGGAGAAACATTCACATAACTCGGCAGTGCTTTGATTTTGTCTTCGTCGAATGTTCGTGTCTTCTGGGGCCGGAGAGGTTGTATCCTCTCGATGTAGAGGTATTTCGTTCTTCCAGACGCTTTCGAAACGTCGTGTGCAAATTGAAGCTTTTGAAGATTGTGGATGGAAGAGTTGAAAATTCTTTCATCCGACGATTTCAATACCGTCTTTGAGAGCCTTTGTTATTTCTATATTAAAGTAATCTGAAAACCTCTTTTCTGTTTTTTTCGGATAACGGCCTTTTTCCGCTGCAGTTTTACTTAACTTTCTGTATACTACGTATGAGGAAGGAAAACACTTGCTGTATCAGGTTTCACAAAGCCTGTGTTTCCGTCTAAAATCTCGAAATCGAGATTTGCAGTTTTATGCCCTACAATTCTTTCTGTGCACCATGATTTTGAACAACCAAGAGAACTCTACTGCGATTTTTGCAACTTTGCCCCTTGCAGGTATCAGCTGTTGACAATTTTATCCAATCAGGAGCTTAAACGTCACCATAGTGACGTCACTATGGTGACGTCGTGGCCCACGATAAATACAGGCCTGGGCGCCGAATAGTGACGTGAGCAAAGCCGTGCTGTGCGTACTCACTGGTTCTGGTGGCCAAGCGGGGTGGCTACACATCACTCGGCGTTTTTGTTTTTTTCTTCAATTTGATGGGCGTAATAAAAATAAAGCAGTAATAAGCATTAAATAATTTTAATATCATAGTTTTTCCACGCTAGTATTACTTTGGGATAATTTTCTTTTCTCATTAAATACATCTGACAGTAGATATGGGAAGGTAATGAAGAACCCTCATTTTTTTATGAAGAACACATTTTTATTTATGTTTTAAATTTTTTGAGTTGTCTTTGATATATAGTAGCAACAATTTTGTCGTTTTTAAACTAATTACATTGTTCATGAATGTCTTAGAAGCTCTTAAAATAATGTTGTGAAGCAAGTCTTTGGCACTTCTTTTACAATCACGTAATTTATTCATATTAATGAAAAATCATATCCGTTACTAATTTTTTTGGACATTTCAAATAAAATAGAAAAATGGTTTGTGTCACACAAGAAAGCAGCTTCACAGTTTTCCATAAGCTTTCCTAATAAAAACCATGGAATTGCAGTTGAAATAACAGAACATATTGTGCGCATTGTCAATTTACCTCTATCATATTCAGATAAAAAAATCACTTGGTATTCACACATCTACCTCTTTGTTGCTTTGAACACAAGCCATGCACACGTTACATTTTCTTAGAAACATTTCTTTCATAACTGCATACCCAGATATATAAATTATCACTGGCAAAATATTTTCAGGAATGTCACCAAAAGAAAAATTGTATTCTAATACCTCAGCATATTCATCAAAATCAACACTTTTATTAACATTTATAATCCAATACTTTAATCAACATTTATTATGTGGGTAAGAAAAAATATAGGGCTAAAATATGGCTTAAATACAGGTGTTCAATGTAAAAGGGTAGGTGAACAAAGACAATTAATTATCACTATCTCAAACACATAAACTCTACCTACCTGGTGTATACTCGTTATTTGCAGATCAACATAAAAAATAAATTTCCTTTTTCAATGTCCACAAGCACTAAACAGGTAAAATGCAATAATAAACTATTAATTCTTGCAAAATTTAACAACACAACACACAATCTTCAATTCTCGCAATATTTTAACAACACAATACATAATCTTCAATTCTCGCAAGTTCTCACAAGTAATACCATTACCTTTGAGAAACAAAACCCAGTAATATTAGAACTCAAGACAAAAAGCCAATAGAATATCATATAACTATGATATCGCGTTTGCATCCACTAACGATAACGTCGAACGAGAATCAAGCCTGCTCTCCGCCAGCCAGCACGGCACGGCTTTGCTTACGTCGCAGACATCGCGTCTCGCGCCTAGGCCTGTATTTACCGAGGGCCACGGGTGACGACGCTCTCGGATGAAACCGCCAACAACTGATTCCTGCGAGGTCAGTATTGCATAAATCTCAGTATAGGTCGAGAACTATCGTTGTCTGGAGGAGGATTCTAGCAGCTGGCTGCTTTGATCGGTAGTTTTTCGTGGTTTCTCCGATCAACATCAGGCGAATGCCGGAGCAGTACACTACCTAACGGGTCCCGCGTGATTTTCCTTCCCATTCTTTGTCCTATCCTCATTTATTTATTTATTTACGTCAAAAACACTTAAAAACTGTGTGTGCTATGGGGAGAAGTTGATTTGAAGTTACATTTACGTCCAGAAGCAATATAAGGGGCCATCTCAGCATTTGCTCAAGGATCAGGGAAACTGGACGAAAATCTGATCGAGATGGGGGTCACTGACCCAGAAGCTGAAGTACAACACTTGTTTCAGGTTCTTTACAATTATACAATCTAAATGATTTATAATACATTAAATGTCATTCTTAAAATTAATATTATTTCTTTTTGGATGCTCGATGTGATCTCCAATTGTATAGAAACGGTTGTGCAGCAGAAAATATTTTACTTAGGACTTATACTTTTGTATCGAATTTAATCGTTTAAAGTCATCTTGCAAGGTGTTGTAAAATAATGTGCATGTATTATACGTGACTTTTTTATAGTGAGCTGTGGATACTGTTACCTGATAAATATGATTACTACGTCGAGTGTTGTAGTTGTAGACAACGGCGTTTGCTGAAAATATATTCCCGCCCTCAAGTAAGTCATTTTTGACAAAATCCACTGATTCATATATCAAGAGACAAGGTAATGGTAAAATACCTGGATTAATAACGAGAGGTTTACAAGAATCACGTGGGTGGGATTTGCTTATTATTCGTATAATTCTTTTTTGTAATCTAAAAGTCTGGGAACTATAAGATGTATTTCCCCAGAATAGTATGCAATGTCTCAGATGGGAATGAACATTCGCGAAATGTACCAACGAGCAGTGTGGAGGCTGACTGATTCCCTCGCCATACAGCGGGGCAATATCACCACCCCCTCTCGAGCGAAACACATGGACTTCACTTACGAAACTAACGACCTTAGCAATTAACGCGTCCCGAATCAACAGTATTTAATTAATTTATCAACTATGCATGTAGGAAAGTAAGAAAGTGACTGCGCAGAGGCAGAAAGTAACTTTTCGTTTTGAATAACACCCTTGCCTTAAGGAAGCCCAGGTGCGTCCAGCGACTGCCCGTGCACACCCCTGACGCCGCCGCGGGCGTCTGCTTACTCTGCGTCAATCCTCTCCCCCTCCCCCTCCCGCTCGGAAGCCACAGGCACGGTGCGGCGGCCACAGTGGAAGGGGGACCACCCGGCTCCCAGCCAGCCTCCGGGGGCAGGCATGCACTTTAAAACCGGTTTAGGAACTCTTGCGAGGGGTGGTGCTTATTAATTCGTAGTTGAGACTCAGCTCACAGCGAGCATTACTCGCCATCCACTGCAGCGACGCTCGCCGGAAGGGCTAAGGTTAGAGTCCCGGAGTGCTTTTTGTGCACTAGCGAACGTTCCATCGAATGCAGCCGCCTACGGAGTTCTAGCGGCCGACTGCTCTGATCGGTAGTTTTCCGTTGCATCATTCAATACCAGGCCAGTACCGCAGTAGTATCCTAAAAGTAGTTCCTCGCTCTTGTCCCCTCTTCCTTAGTCTTGCAAACTTACATTTACGTATTGTGCATGACCACACATGTCCGGGGACCCCTTGAGGAGATACTCTGTATTTCGGAAAATAGCGAAGGTTTGAAATAAGGCGCGAAAGAGTACGCTGTTGTAGCCGCCTTGGTTTCCTTTGCAGGTGGGCGGTGTTGTGCGCGG